CATCCACACACTAAAGAATAAACACCAATTATGTACATAAATTATTACATACAGACAAAAGATACAACACAAACACATGTGTCTGCTTTCGTGTGTAAATGAACCTTACCAACACTCGGTTTTTAATAATAAACAATTACCACGGTGCTTTTCGTGGAATTGTGGCATACATGATAGCCTCAAAGTCTGATATACACTCCGGAACAAATTATTACCACAATGCTCTTTTAGCACATCACAAAGCAGGTAATAATATCCAACATCCATTCTAGTAGGTGCTCCGTCCAGGAACCAGCTTGGCCTACAGTAAATTATCAAGCATGTGCCCATGTCACGATGAGTTTCCACACGCTACTTCTGAAACGTTTAAAAACTAGGCAAAGGACATATCAAGTGCCCAAACATCTAACCAAGATGCTCCTCGTCAGCCGCTTCTCCAAGCTCTCCGGTGCAGAATGGTGAAGCCTACCTCATCATGTGCTTCTCTGCATTTTTGCTTTTGAACCCAACAAGCCCGCCCAAGCTAGCTCCAAATATTGGTGGGTGCTTGCTCGGTGTTTTATGGTATGCCTCTGCTCCATCGTTTCTATGCTATCGCGTGCTTCCTGAAGGCGACCAGTAGGCCTTCTTCATGTTGTACTTGCTTTCTAGGCAACACTGCATTACGACACCACCGCCTTCATTACGTGTTCCCGTTTTCCTTTCACGTCGAGTCGCATTGTTCACTTGTTGGCCACAGCACCCCTGCTCCCAGATGCACACACGTCGAGACTCTCCTCTGTGTACCCACAAACAGCCTCTGCTTTAAATTTTAAAATGGGTGCTTTAAAACTGTTGGGCTAGTTGGTTAAATATTAGGAACACAAACAGTGCTAAGGACGAGAACTATAGTCAGTCACAGGTTAAGAAAAGTTTTCTGGCTGAGGAGGAGGAAGCAGATGGAATGCTGAAGAAAGGAGGAGGTTTCCTCTTCTCTTCTCCAGCATTCTGTCTGCTTCCCCCGCCCCTGCCCCCCTTTCTTTCGAAAACTTTTCTTAACCTGTAGCTGACTATAGTAGAAATGGGCCTAGTAATAAGTGGCGTATGTTTATACAGCCGGAAGTTAGTCTGTCTCGGTGGGCATCTGGTGTCTCAGCTGTGGATGAGCAATTTAGCCAGTGCGGTACAACCAGTAGCATGGGGCCTTTAATGTGCACCACGCAGCAGTGATACACGACCACGCTCCAATACAATGCTCATCTAGATCGAAACGGGCAGCGGTGAGGATGAACTCAGGATCTCTGTGTTTTGCAGAATAGCAGAGTAGAAGTGGACAGGACGGGTGCTGACTAACAACCAACGTTTTAATACACAAGAATAAGAGGAGAAAGAAAAAGGTAAGGGGGAGATTACTATATATATATATATATATATATATATATATATATATATATATATATATATACACAAGGTAAAATAAATGTTACTAAACTTTTTGTAAAAGAAAAACAAAGAAAAGCTTCAAAAATGAGCTGGCAAACAGGTAGTACAGAAAGAAAAAAATTACAAATAAAATAAAGAAGGTTGATATCTATATAGCTTTAGGAGCAGAGGTTCAAGTAGAACAATACCTTTGCCGAAATTGTCACGAATGGAAGAGGCATTGACACATGCGTCTTCTTTGGAGAGAATGACTTGAGTTTCATATAGTAGTTCTCTCGAGCTCTTGTCATGGAACCACCTCAGGACTTGAGTGTGTGCAAATTGCACACAATTGTCTTCTTCACTTGTTTCCTTTCATATCCCCCTTACATTTTTCTTTCTCCTCTTTCTTCCTCGTGTGTATTAAAACATGAGTTGTTAGTTGGAGACGGGTCCTGACTAACAACCGTCCTTAGTAAGGATGAACCGACATTAGGACAGAATAAAGGCATAATGGTGCCTTTATGCTGCGACGTCCTAGGTCCTTGTTCAAATTCCAGAATCGAGACGCGATAGCGGGGCGAGTCTCGTGACAAAGGTGGACCTCCGTAGACCTCCAGAGGACCTCGCCTTCCGTCACAACAGAAATCTGTAGGAATCGGAAAGCAAGCCCCTCCAACCGTGATGCACCCTTCACCTTTCGCAAATCCGAAGGACAATCTTCTGGAGTCGTGACCGTTCAATACCCCATTCACCGTGGTGCAATTGAAACTGCTGGTATGCTGTCTCCTATGCAGAACGTGGTTGTGGCAGTGGTTCTCCTTTAGAAAGAAAGCTATCATAGAGAGAAAGGAGATATTGATGCCGTATTATTAGGTCGCAGCAGTGTATAGAATTGAACAAAGTGATGCATGGTGTTCCAATGAAAAAAACAACACAAGGACAGAGTAAAACTGGACAAATGCAGGTTTGTATCTGTTTGGCACTTCCACTCTCTCCTTGTGCTTGTTCATTTATTCAGTTAGCAAAAAAAAACAGCGACAAAGTAAAAGAATTAAAGAAATGCAGGGTTGTATTTGTCTGGCACTTTCACTCTCTCCTTGTATTTATTTATTCAGTTACCTTCAGGTACAAAGGCATTACAGAGTACTGTGATGGGGCAAATAGGAATAAAAATAAAAATAAAGATCACGGCAACATCAACAAAAATAAACAAGGAACAACTATACAACACATTACCAAAAACAACTCAGACCCCGCAGCTCGAAAGCTCGAGTTAACAAAGATTTGGCTCCGGCCAGGTGATTCCATGTTACAGAAGAGCTGTGAATAAAAAGAGCATGACAAATGTTTTGTTTGACAGGACTGAACAACATGTTTGTGATGGTATGATGGTAATCAATGCATACTGAAATTAATGGTCCTGATAGAAGCCACTTCAGAATTAGGTAGTAACCTCACAAAACAGAGAGAAAGTATTGCTCTGCAATGTGAAAAAAGGGTAATGATAAGAAAAAAAGGGTAATAATAAGCCCACCTTAACCACACTTGAACAAAAAAAGAGGTGACAATAATTCGAAACTATAAAACAAGATGTGTGATTTTGCATATAAGATTTTACAATTTCAATTCCCAAGTATAAATGTTTGCTTGTCATAGTTCTTAACTCGTCTTAGCACATTCCTATGTTGGAAGGAGGCTTATGCCACAAGCGAAAGATACCAAGGAATACTAAGACCATAATTACTTTCTTTTTTTTCATGAACACAAACCTCTGCTGATCTGCTGTGTAGCATGCAAAACAAACACAAAAGGTTACATCAAGATACAAAAAGCTAATGAAAGATAAAAACAACTAAAACAAGAAATACAACACAGGTGCATAATAAGCATACTTACAAGGATAATCATTTACATAGGTGAATGAATTTTAGATGACAGAGCTTGGTTCAGATAATCAAATATATTGTTATTTTAATGACATTATGATGAAGGAATTATTGTGAGAACTGGTTGAAGACCACCTACTGCACAAATATATATCTGATTTTAAAATATTTTATGGAAATTTTCTGGTTTCATCTCATGCTCTACATTTGCTTCAGCATGTGCCCAGCTGCTTGAGTGCAGTGTCACGAAATCTGTTCAGCAAGCATTCAGGAATGGTAGAAAATAAAGCGAAAACCTGAAACGGTGGCCCTCTTTTTAACGAGTGTGTGCAGTTAAAAAAAAAAGTGTTGGGTTTTGTTCAAGTCTGGATCGGATATCTCTGATTCCAAGAAGCAAGGATTCCCACATGCACAGAAGGCAGCGAAAGCAGTCACTTAATGTATCTGTAGATTTTTAGTTTCTCCACTTTGTCGCACCGAGCTTAATGCAAAGATTGTACAGGTATATAACCCCGGTCTGGCTACATGAAGAGCTCGTTCCGTTTTCTACGCCCTTTGTGCCCTGGCTTTAAACATTGGATAATGGAACATCCGCTGCACCGCTAAATATCAGACTAAGGAATGTCAGTTGCCATCATTAAAAATTAATAAAATACAATGTAGCCAAGCACGGGTGTTCTCAATCAAAATGAATTTACCCGCTGCATTTGAACACACAAATAAGCAGTATATACTATGCAGCGAAGCCAACCTGCAGAAACTGCGTTTGGCCATTCAGAGAACGTGGGAGCGATTTCAATCACTTCTTGAGAAGATACAACAAGAAAAGGGGGAAATCACATCAAGCCAATTGAAAGTTAATATGATCGGCAGCAATAATAAAAAAAAATTGAACAAAATAATAAATGGCCTTTTTGGAGAAAGTGGGTTGAAAATATCAATTAATTTCATTTTCGACGATATTTCAAATTTTATATAAAAAATTAAGTGAAAATAAAATAAACTAAACTTATGCCCGTCTATATTCCATGTATGTAATCGCTCCCACATAGTATTTGGTGAGCGAAAAATATAATAACTCATGAGTTACAAGGCTCTGATGTTGTCACCACATTGTCACGTGGGAGCGATTTCGATCACTTCTAGAGAAGATACAACAAAAAAAAAGGGGGAAATCGCATCAAGCCAATTGAAAGTTCCTATGATCGGTAGCAATAATAAAAAAATTTGAACAAAATAAAAAAATGGCCTTTTTTGATAAAGTGAGTTCAAAATATCGGTTAATTTCATTTTCGACGATATTTCAAATTTTATATAAAAAATTCAGTGAAAATAAAATAAACAAAACTTGAGCCCGTCGATACCCCATGTATAGGGCTACACCCGCATAGTATTTAATAAGTGACAAATATAATAACACATGAGTTACAAGGCTCTGAAGATGTCACCGGATTGTCAAAGAGACGATGTTTGGCATTTTTTACCTCAATAAACAAAACTACAAAAGTATTTTCCTTTAAACTAAAAAATAGCCCAAATAACATACAAGAGCACAAAAAATTACTGTGAGTTTTGTATGCTTCCCGTATTCATACCAGCGTACAGAACTGGGTAGAAAAATCACAGAGTAAAAAACAGATTTTCACCCTGCTCCACTCAAAAGGTTTTTGTGAAGCGAAATATTTTTTAAAAAATTTTAAAAAGCGGTTTTGTTCTTTCCAGAAATAGGGCAATTACATATATTTTTTCAAAAGAGATTGAAAGACCCACCCCGAAAAGCGTGTTCGATTTCAAATGAAACCACCCATACTTTTTTTAGCTGCTAATTACCAATGTATGGTGCTAAGGGCTAGTCAAGCCTCCACTGAGGTTCTTACCCTTTGCTCCACCATTAAGCGTGGGAATAAACATATTATTATTATTGTCATACAAATATAAGGTGCGACTTGTATAAAGGTGTGGCCTATATACCAATGTTTGAATGTAAACAGCCGCTTATAGTTCAGCGTGACTAATGCACAGATGTGATTTACATATGGGAAAATACGGTATATGCTCGTTACAATGGTGACTTATTGGTTCTCTGTTAGTGATGGTTCCCTTTGCAGTTCTGACTTTTATAGTGTTAAAAGGCAGCCGGTACTGGCAGGTCATAGATGATTTATGAAGCAATCAGGGTAAAACGACACTACAAATAAGCCAAGCTGCACTGCCCTTTACTACATGATGGATGTTCCTCACAGATGATGCTCCTTCTGATGAGCATTTAAATAAGCTTGCTGCACAAATTTTTCACCACACTGTGTGCAATGGAATGGTGGGTCTCCACCGTGAAGTCCCTCGTGACACCTCAACTGGCGCCGCCGGATAAACGCGGCCCCACATGTTCCGCACCTGTATGGTCTTTCACCCGTATGAAGCCTCACGTGAGCCTGCAGGCTACTTTTGTGTGAAAATGCCTTCTGGCAAGTCTGGCACCTGAACGGCCTTTCACCTGTGTGAATTCTCTCATGAACCTGCAGGTTACTCTTCAGTGCAAACACTCTGTGGCAGATGCGGCAGCTGAAGGGCTTCTCGCCTGTGTGCGTTCTTTCATGCCTCTTGATGCCCCTACTTTGACAGCTGGAGAAAGGGCAGAACCGGCACTGATACTTCTTGTGGTGCGGGTGTGCCATTGGCTGCCCCACGGTGAACGAATCATTCTCAGAAGAGTGTTTGCCCTCGACGTCTTCACAGCCAGAAGCCTCTTTTTCGACTTTAATGGCTTTCGTGACAGACACTGCGAGAAACAAGACATTGTTTTCAACAGGCTTTTCTTTTACCAAGAGTAGCAGCTTGAAGACCAAAGTCTACCTGAGTGTCAACACAGGTGTAGTGGGAGGTGGTTCTTCACTTAATGGGTGCCACACTCCCCAAAAAACATTGTTCTTAGTGCCTGGATAGGACACATCTGTCACAAAATAGACTTCGAAAGAACAAACAAAAACCTTTAGATAATATTTATTTTACCAGACTCATTTTTGAGTTAGGTGCTTTTGTTTCAGGGTCAACGCCTCGAAAGCAAATCACGTTACAAAATTGCTCCGAACTCCAAATGTGTCTTGTAACGTCAATACTGCATTTATATATTTTCAGGAAAAGTACATTTCCTGATGTACATACCCAATCCGGGCACTTAAGAATTGTTTTGTGCGAGTTCAGCATCTCTTTAAAGGGGCACTGATCGACAGGTCAAAATCATATTTTTTTTATTATCCGAAATGATAGAAAACGATGCCTGGACATGACCCTCAAAATTCGAAACTTGGGAACTCAGTATTTGTGAAGTAAAAAAACAATTCCCAAAATCCGAATCTGAAGTTCCCGCACGATCCACGCCAGTGCAGTAAGAAAAGATTATGTCACCCTGCAACTCGAGTTTCTCTCACGCCCCAGTGTCATGTTCGTCCACGTCCCAAGATCAACCGCTCTGTGCGTGCCGCCCCTTGCTGTGGGCGACAGCAAGGGTTGAAGTTTCAGCGATCTCAAATTCTTTGAAACCGTATGAGCTCGAAGAGAACGCACAGTCGACTTTTGTGAGCGACATGAGGGGCCACATTGCGCCGGTGCTGCGTAAAAGGCTGCCACAGCGGAGTCGCGACCGAAGCTAGGGTACACAGACACGAAATGCAGTTGTTTTGATCGTCTGACGATTTCCTTTTCGAAGTCTGAGAGGTCGTCAGGCGCCTAAAAAAGAGAACTTTGTCCGATGCCCCAACTCACGGATCACCCTGAGTGCTACATAGGTGGAGCGCCGCCATGTTTTCTGACGGAGGAGAAAAAGACAGGGGGTGACATCACTCAAGACTCTGATTATCGGTATTTCAAAAAGATGGGCCACAGCGCGTTTACAATTGCGATAAAAAACATGTTTTACGAATGCCGTTCATAATTATTGTGGAAATGTCGCTTACAGAGATTCTAAATTTCATAATCGATTATGCCACGAATAAAAAGAGGCGAAGAGGTGATGAGCGAGAGAGAAGGGTGCCAAAAATAAAAAGGCACCCGCCCATGTTTAAACTTTGTTTTTTTTGCATTCCGGTATTTTTTTGCATGTTTTACTACAACCTGCATTGTTTTTGACAACAAAATTCAAATACAACCTTTGTCAGCACCCCTTTAAGGTCAGCAGATTCCATACATAGATTGCTTTAGGTGTGTAACACCTTCACACTAAAACTAAATAAAACTCAGGCTAACTTTTCTATTTCATGCCTGATGAATACCCAAATCTGCAGTTTCTATTACCACTCTCCCGTCGTCTAACTAGTAAGCTGGCAATGAAATAATGCTTGCAGCCTCACTGAAACATGTTATACACAACTAAAACATATAGGTGGATCCTGTGTTGAAAGTGACAGGCCTCTTGGCTAAAAGAAAATGCAACGATTTTAACACAGCACTTTCAAACTGGCTTCATTCACGCGAACACTGCTTTAGTGGACTGGATCTAGTGTAGTAGTTGGGTTTCAGGGAGAGAACAGTTGTGTGTAATTTTCCATGCCCTGGCCACATGCAATCTTAATGCTGTCACATTGGTGGCAAGAAGGATGGTTGCAAAGAACTAGTCGTACCAAAAGTTGGCTGGTGGAGATGCACTCCCTAATGTATGGATTCCCTAGGGATCTATTCCCTAGATTTTCTTTAAGACAGCGGCAACAGATTTTAGTACAAGGTTTAAAAGACGCTCAATAGACAAGCATGGTAGATCTGAATACAACGACACAGAACACTGTCCACATTTAAGGCCGATTTCAGCAAACCAAGACAATGGCAATGTCCAAAAATATGTAACAGAGAAAAAAGCTCTCCAGTGATAGTCAGGTCCCACCTATTACAGAACATTTAAACCCAAAAGTGGTAAAGCCGGAAAAGCATGAACAGAACAAATAGCATCATCACTGAATATACAGAACCATTTTGTACACTAGCAACACAAAATGAAGGGAAAAAAAGATGATTGGAGGCAATGTTAAAAAGCTTGGCATATTTTCTGTTAGAGGGACTGGTGTAGTATGGCTGTACCCCTTAATATAATAAAAAAATGACAGCCCGGATGAAAATTCCAATTAAACATATTTGGAATTCCAACTGGTTTTAACTGGAACCAATCGGTTTTAGTGGGTTCCAACTGGAAACACGCTCGCCAAGGGGTCTCACCAACTGGAATTATTTCTCTATGGTCAGTGACAGGTCAAGAACAAAGCGGAAGCTCTACCCGCCCCTTTCCACTTCAGCGGAGCAAACGGTAAAGAGGAGGTCGCCTCCTCTTCAGGGTTCGCTCTACTAAAGTAGAAAGAAGTGGGAGGAGCCTCCACTTCGTTCTTGACCTGTCACCGACTATAGCTGAAACCTAAATGGGCTCCAAATGGTGGTCCGTTGCTTCCAATTGGCAGTGACCAATTGGTTGTCCAAAAACCCGATTGGTACCAATGGAAAAATTCCACTTGGAACATAATGGGAATGTTCAACTAGGAGGGTACTATCTGAGATTGCTGAAAAAAGCTGCAGTCCTTTAGGAAAAGTCCTTAAGGGGAAGTTATTTAGGGGAAGTCCTTTAGAGGGCTACTGCACAACAGTGGTTTTGTTTGCAGAGATGAGACATTGGTGGATTGGATCAGGTGGGGTGGGGAAAACGGACAATAAACTGGACACAACTGGCCAAAGCACGGCAACATCCAATCTAATCCAAGTATGTCGTATCTATGTGAATAAACAATCTATGTGAAAAATCAAGCCGCCGGAAGTTGGCTTGACTGGTGGGTGGTCCGTTCTATGAAGTAGCAATGTGCGGATTCGCTGCAATTGGTCCGGGACAATGCAAGAAAGATTGACCTGCAAATAAAAATTGGGAATTTATTAATATGTCACCATGTTCACGATGTCTACAAGCTACAACAGGGGGGAAAAAAGCAGGCTACAATACCGGCAAAGAGGAAAGCAACTTGCCACATGGTACTTCTATAAGCAAAAGTACAAATCGAGAAATTTTCCCGTATCAGCCAAACCAATGTAAACTTGTGCCCCACGAAATCACCTGGAATGCATGCCAGGTCACTCATGGTTTGTTTGCGGATGCAAGTTGCCCGGTTAGAGACATATTTTACAAGTGCCTTCTTTGGGGGCTTACTGTGCACAACCACTAACGTATTGCTACAAAAGGTTGTTAAGAAAACATGCGCCAGGGGAAATTTTTCTTTCTTTTATTACAATATTGAAATAAAATTTTTACAGTTTATGATGCTTAATCTTCTCTTTATAAATTTGGAGTTAGATTTGATATAGCTCATTATTTTAGGTTCTCGATGCAATGTACATGCAGAAAAAAAAACATGTTCTTGTGCACATGTGAAGCATGGCAACACACTTAGAAAAGCCTAGTAAAAAAAACTAATTCACTCCTTTTAAAATACTGAGTGCATTGAACAACAAAAATATTGTGTGCAACACTTGTTTAATTGAAAACTTATTAAAAATTGCAGAAATGCCATTTCAAGGAGCTAACAAATGTTTCCCAAAATTTTCATAAATACAAAACATATGCATTTTAACCAGAACTAGATAGTTTCATTCTACTTATTCTAAAGTACACTTGAGATAGGACAATAGATCCTTTCCGGAATTGTGAAATGATGCATAGATTATGCGCAGCCGGCATTAGTTGGTCACATCGCTTCCGGCGTGGAGCCCGCGATTGGTTCCAAGCTTGCGCCGAATATTGACGCAGCACTCATGCGGAATGCATTTCGATCCGAGCACACTTCGAATGCTGATGAAGCGCTCGGGTCCAATGCGTGCTCACATTGCATGACCAACTAATGGCGGTCGCACATAATCTATACATTATTTCGAAATAGATCTATATCAAGAGCAGAAATTCTTGAGCAGAAAGTATGAAGATGCCCCAAAATTACTTGAAAACATAAAAAGAAAATGGGTTTGAATGTCACCACAGAGCAGGGGTGGCCCAAATTGCAGCTCACGTCCCGCACGCGGCCAGGGGCGGATTCAGGCGGGGGTCCGGATGTCCTGACCCCCCTCTTGAATTCTGCACGTGTAAAAATTTAGGGCGTGGAAATGGAAAAAGGGGGGGGGGGGGGGGGGGCAGGTTCTTAAACATACGATACACTGGCCAACACCTGCCCCCCCCCCCCCCCCCCCCCCCTTTAAGAAATACTTGCGTCCGCCCCTGCATGCGGCTCTTCGAGGGTTCAAGAGTGGCTCGCGACTCCCTGGTAACCATGCCCCCCCTTCCCCTCCTATGTCCCAACAACAAAAGTTATAAACTTAAAAAAAAAGGATATCTTGGCAGTTTTGTATTACACTAAGTACATGCAGCTGGACTTCTTTTTGACACGTAGACGCATCTAGTGGCCCCGTTTTCATTATTGTTCTAGAAAGAATTTCTAACTGTATACGCATGACAGGGATCAGGGGCAGTGGCTGGCTAGCGAACCATACATTAATTTTTGCTTAGCGGTTGAAGAAACATTCTGCTGCTTGGGTGTTATTTGTTGTGGTCGAACATTATACCTGTCCGTTTTGGAAAGGATTGTTTGCTCCTTATCGTTTCTTGTTAAAAGTACCCCCCCCCCCCCCTTTTTTTTTCTTCCTGTGGCTCTCTGAACTTTTTTGTTTTGTCTGCGGCCCTAACGCCATGTCACTCTGGCCACCCCTGCCATGGAGCTATACTCTTTCGCTGTGCAAAAAATATTTTGTTCATAAATATCTGCGAGAAATCGAAGCTACAGAAGACTGCAATTTAGAGAAATGGGCTAGGCCTACTTGTCGACGTAAATGTGATGGCAGGCGACATCACAACTTGAAGAACCACGCAGAAAAATTTGGCTCAAATTCATGCCATTGCGGGTTGCCTAGAGGTCTTCGAATTCATATTTGACTAATTTCGCAATCATAACTGGCACTAATTATTTTTATACATCAAATATAAAGATTGAAATATAATAAAACACCATAAAAGACAAGATCACATTTTTTGATAAATATGCTGTTTTCTGGCCAGCATCTCCCCTTAAAAGGACACTGACAGGGTATTTATGCTTGCCAAGGTTGTGATTTGTACACGACATATGAGAGCCCGACTACCCAGAACACAATTTGAGCCTAAAAATTTGTTTTCTTTCCGCCCTAAAACCGCCGATCGTAAACTGGCCGGTTTGAGTCGCACTCGGTCCCTTCTTTTTGGTCACATGCAGTTTTCTTTGGTTTAGACACAACCACCAAAAATAATCAAAGTTGTGGGTCACCGAAGGCATGCTTTCAATAGTAAAATTAGAAAAAAGAAAAAAGAAAACTTGATACCCATTTTTTGTGGTTTCTAAAAACTGCAAACATTTTGATTAAAAAAAAAACAAACTTGCACAGCCACATGACCTTTGCCACACTCGCATCCTCTATAGTTCTTCTACCTTCCCACTCCAGTTTCGGTTTCAAGCAGTTGGTTTTTGACTTTATTAGAAATATATGTGACACTGCAGCATAACATTGATTGGGAAGTCTTCTGACACTATAATGAATCGCCTGGCAAAAATGTAAAAAAAACTTTTTTGGGGGTGTCAGTGTCTCTTTAATTTGTAATTAAAATAAGAATGGTCATGGCCCTAAACAAGACAACTTGAACATATTAGGTTTTATCAGAGTGAAATTATGTTTGTCCCCATGTACACTCTTCACAGATTTTATGGAGCTTTTGGTGGTGATGCCTGAACTCCAAGTTGAGGGGGATTGTGCATAAACTTTGAATTGTGTATATTTTGAGAATAGGCCTTACATGAAATTGCTTGGTGGTCTGACAACACTGAAAGTGTCGCCATTTTAATGTTGGCAAGCATCATCAGTACTGAAGCACGGTGGAGGCATCGGAGACAACAGTACGGGCAGTGTGCGATGGCGTGGCAGACGGGTTTTTTTGCCTTCTGATCAGGGAATATGGACGAACAGTTTAAAGAACCTACCGCAACTGTATGACGAATCTCTCGGAGGCCTGTGCACGCTGCTGTACCATTGCACTCTGCCCATAGGGCTGTTTCTAATGTCTCCACCTCCACCAACATTAAAATGGCGATGCTGTCAGTGTTGTCAGACCACCAAGCAATTCTGTATAAGGTCTATTGATAACTTCCTAATGCCACAGAACAATATGTTCCTGTGCACTGATCACATCGAGAACTACTAGGGAATCTTTAAGTAAAAGCTTATTTTGCAATAAAACATGATATACCAAAATTATGCCTCACTTGTATGAGGTCCAGCAGAGGAATCTGTTTCTACAAGGGGGGGGGGGGGGGGGGGGGGGGGGTATTTTGAAGGTGTATGTTTTCCAGTTTTGTATCTCTGACAATCTGGACTTACGGGCCCGGTCAAAGAACTTTTGGATCCTACATCGTAGATGCCGAAACACAACTTCTAATTCTCCGACACAAGACCTGAATTAAACCAAGGCATTAGGGATGCCGCAAACTTTTTTCGAACCGAAGTTTGGATGATCGAATCAAGCGGTTCGAAAGGTTTGAAAGATTTCGAATTTTCTAACTTTCCATATCGAGAAATTTGACGGAAGTCGAATTTTCGAACTTATTAAACTAAGAAGTTCGACGCTTTTCGAATTTTCGAACTTACTACGCTGCCAAATTCGATGCTTGTCGAACTTTCGAACTTTATAGACTAAAAAATTCTATGATTTTCGAACTTTCGAACTTCTTGCACTAAAAAGTTCGAAGCTTTTCGAACTTCCTACGCAAAGAAATTAAAATTTTTTCGAACTTTCAAACTTATTAATTTAAAGAATTCGAAAATTGTCGAACTCTCGATTCCTGAAAAGTCAAAAGTTCGACGAACTTCGAACTTTTAGGGTAAAAGTTTGAAGCTCGTCGAACTTTGAAAGACCGGCGGGCGGTTTCATTTGGATTCAAGCAGTAAGGTACATTCCTAATTTCTTTTTCGCAATTTTACATGGGGTGACGCATTCCTTGCGAAAGACAATGCCGTTTATTTTAATCATCTGGCATGCTTGGTTTTAGAAAAATAGATTCCCGAAGGAGCGAGGAAGGATGACGGGTTTTTGCCAATTGTCGTTTGTGCCATATCTGAAGCGCGCTATAGCCGAAGCTATTTCTGGTAGAGATGTTAAACTTTTTAAGAATGACCTATATATAGTCTAGGTGAGTGTCGTCTTAAAGGGGCGATGCAACGACTTTTGTGTTTTGCGCTAATAGCACTTAGAACGGATCCCTGACGTTAACGACCTGTAAAATACCAGTTCGTTTTTCATCACCCGCAATCGAAGTCGCAGCAAAAAATAAAGAAAAACGAGCAAAGTTTACCCCCTCAACTCGCAGCCAGAACAAGCGGCCACGTGATCTGGAGCCGATTATATGCCGCCAATGTTGATCATAGCCATGCGCTGGGGTTGGCAAGGCACAGGACACGCGCTGCGTTCCAGACATTGTTATGGTTCGGCTACTTTCGTCATTGCAGCGATTGGACACAGGACACTACCCGAATGTTTCTCGAGCTATAGATGATCACAAGGCCAAATCTAGTGCCCACGCAATGCTCGGGTCCAATCTATGAGCCGCATTCAAATATCGTCACTGGGCGGTACTGCTACCACCCAGCTACGTCATCAGGTTTCGCGAAGGAGAGATAGAATGAAAACGCTCGGTTTTGTCTCAAAATTACAGCGCAACAAAGTAGTTTCTTGGTCAGTGCCGTTGCGTGCGAGTTTCCTTGAGTCCCACTAGTTCAAGTAAGCTCGTGCGACGTGAAAAACATTTCAATTGAGTATTGTTGCACCGCCCCTTTAAGATACGATTATTGTTGTTCAAGACGAGTTTTGAATAAATATGCAAACATGTCACTACGGACAATTATGCCCTAAACTTGGTAATTTTTTTCGCCTACATTGTTTGGGTATCGCATTTAAATTAACACCACAGACAGTACATATCATTACCATCTGCAGAATACAAAATAATGTATTTATTGTTTTTTTCACGTTGAGGAATAAATTAACTAATGGGGGAAGATTTCTAAAATTGTT